TTGGAATTGTGGAGAAAAAGATCACTTTCGGACAGGTTTACAAGACCAAAGAGGAAGTAGAATCACAAATCTGGAGATGATGATGATTCTATAAATTCAGCAGAAGACATTGGGGATGCTCTAATCCTTAGCGTGGACAGTTCGATTGAATCCTGGATTTTGGATTTAGGTGCATATTTTCATTCTTCTCCAAATAAAGAGTTGTTCAGGAATTTCAAGTCTGAAAATTTTTAGGAGGTGTATCTTGCAGACAACAAAGATTTAGAGATTAAAGGAAAAGAAGATGTCTGCATAAAAACTCTGGCAGAAAATCAGTGGACATTAAAGAATGTCATATATATTTCTGGTCTCAAAAAGAACCTGATCTCTATTGGTCAGTTGGACAGCACAAGTTATGCAACAAAGTTAGGGAAGAGTTCGTGGAAGATTATGAAGGGTGCTACGGTGGTAGCACGTGGCTCAAAATCTGGAACCTTATACACCACTGCAGGGTGTATGAACATAGCTGCTGTTGCTGAGAGTGCTTCAAATTCAAGTCTACGGCACAATAGACTCGAACATATGAGTGCGAAAGGAATGAAGAGGCTAGCTACGAAAGAAGTTTTAGAAGGTCTGAAATCTGTTGATGTGGGTCGTTGTGAGAATTACGTTATGAGCAAGCAGAAATAAGTTAAACCATATGTGGAGCAAGGTTCCAAGACCACGAAGCAAGTGAGAGTTGAGCTTGAGTTGCAGGAAAACTCACTTAGTGATGTAGCAGATACTCATGAAACTCCTAAGACTAGTACTGAGGAACTAGATGTGGATCAAGGTTCCAAGACCACGAATCAAGTGGGAGTTGAGCTTGAGTTGTAGGGAAACCCACCTAGTGATGTTGTAGCAGATACTCAAGAAACTCCTGAGACTACTGCTGAGGAACCAGATGTGGAGCAAGGTTCTAAGACAACAAAGCAAGTGGGAGTTGAGGTTGAGTTGCGGAAAAAAATCACCTACTGATCTTGTAGCAGATACTCAACAAACTCCTAAGGTTGTTGCAGAGGAACCAGCAGTAGAGCAAGTGACACCTGAACTGGTGTTGAGAAGATCATCCTGTACTATCAGAGTACCAAATATGTATGTACCTTCATTACACTATTTGTTGCTGATGAAAGGGAACCACAACCCTTTGAGGAGGCCCTATAGATGGAGTATACAACCAAGTGGGAGCAAGCCATGGATGATGGAACGCCTAGGCTTCAAAAATGTGTTGTACTGAGACGATATGGATGACTGACTATCTGGAAGAATGAGCAAGAAGTATCACGAAGATATTCTTTATAGAGATAGTTAGAGTGTCATATAGTTGGCGAAGAAACCCGGTCTATCATTTAAAGAGAAAACACAGAAGAAGATACCATTTCCCTTGCAGGTTAGTGAAAGATGGTGATGTGTTTGGAGAAGATAGAGGGTACAAAGAATCCAGCAAACATGTTGACAAAATGTGTTGATGTTGGAATATTGAGGTTGTGCAAAGCCTCAATTGATATGGTGCCATGAAGATGCTCATGGTCGTTTGAGAATGAAATTCTTGGTTGACTAGTTCAGTCTCCAAGTGGGAGAATTGTTTGGTTATGGAGTCTGATGCTTATTTTTAGTTTGGTCAACGGTTCTATCCGGTAAAGCTATATCCGGTAAAGTTATTATATGGTAAATAACTATATATAGTAGATGGTTAAATCTGGTAAAGCTATATATAGTAAATAGCTATATATAGTAGATGGTTAAATCTAGTAAAGCTATGTATATTAAATTGAACTATATATATATCCCGTCAGGTAGAGTTTTGAAAATGTACTTTCTATTCTCTATAATTCTCTCTTACTATACATACGTGAAGTCATCAATAAAAAAAATTCTTTTAGCCAGAGTTCTCCTTGCACTTTTCTCTATCTGTGTTCATCTAGATCGAATGTGCGTTGTTGTGCGATCCTAACAAGTCCATGACCACATCTTCCTACTTTCTTTGTGAAATGCTCAGAGGTTACATTAATTTTGAGGGTTTATGTATTGGTGCTTTAATTTGTTGACTGAACGAACACTTATTCATGTATTCTGCTACATCCTTCATCAAACCGTACAACCAGTAGTAGGTCTTCAAATCCTGATACATCTTTGTACTACTTGGATGCACATAACCCCTTTCAGTTCATGGTCGACTGGAACACATAACCTGACGTTCTAGAGAAGACTATCATATGAGGTCAATGAAAACTCTCATGTGTGAGCGATTCATAAACTTTTCCCAAGATCCTCTTCCTATGATTTTTTGCCTCAAAGTCGGTTGGATGGTCAAATGGGCCAACCTTGTCACTGCTCCTCTGACCATCACTTCTATCTCGACACTCTCCTTATTAGCCTATATCTCAACCTGCCTCGTGTCAGTGTCGACATGAGCCATTTCCTGCTCTGCCATTCGATGACAACATTCCCTATGCCTAGGTGGTATAGAATGTTCATATCGTAGTCCTAGGCTAATTTCAACCACCTTATGTACCTCTTGTTCAACTGTTTACCTGCAATGTATTTAGATCTATATATTCTCTCCATATAAGTAATGCCTCTAGATCTTGAGGTCAAAGACTACTACAACCAACTCCAAGTAATAAGTTGGTAGTTATTCTAGTATTCTTTCAACTATTGGGAGGCATAGGCAATCACCTTCTCGTTCTACATTGGTATGCATTCTAGTCCCTTCCCCGACGCACCACTATGCATATTGAAGTTCCCAGTCCCATCCGGTATAGTAAGAATTGGCATCATTATGAGTCTCCATGCTCGGTCTCATGTAAAACAACTGTCCCTCCTATGTCAACTGGGTAAGGGCGATCATAATTCTTGAGAAATCCTATATGAACCAATAGTAGTAGCCTACTAGTCTCAGAAAGCTACGTACCTTGACCACAATAGTCGAATGAGATTATTCCATTACTGCATTAACCTTAGTCAGGTCCACTACTATTCCTTCTTTCGACACCATGGGGCTCAAGGAAATTACCTTTGGGAGCCATAACTCGCATGTAACGGCCGAAGGCCACCAATAACAGATATTATCCTCCTTAAGCATTCTCTTTCGAGTTTCCCCTCAAGGTTTTTAAAACGTGTCTGCTAAGAAGAGGTTTTCACGCCCTTATAAAGAATGTTTCGTTCTCCTCCCCAACCGATATGGGATCTCACACGACATTTTGAAAACTTTTTACTATTCAGTTACCTCCTTGAGTCAAAAACTTGATACCATAAGGCCGACAACAGTAGAATTTTCTTAATTCTCTCGTATATATTTATATTTATTTAATCCAAATTTCTTTTATTGTTCATTCAAAATTTTGGTTCTTAAAATTGTACGCTTCAAGCCAAGCAAACTTATCTTAGTTTGCGTGAACCCTAGTGGTGGGTACACCTTATTCGTATATATATTAAATTTTAATTCTTTTAAGTCTTTCTTAGTTATCACATCTTCAAAATCACTTTCATTCGAACGTGGTCTCCATTTATTTATGTTCGACTCCCTTGTTCTACATACAAATCAGAGCTAAAGTATAAAAGCCGAAAGTGGTAAAGTATCTAATTCCCCGTAATTCCCCGCAGTGGTGGCAATTCAAGGTAAAATCCATTTTGTAGAACTGGGTTCCTACAAAAAGCCCCACAAATTCACAAGCATGCGCCTAGAAAGTGGTTCAACTTCTGAGCTCTAAAGACATACAAAGGTCTTGTAATGTTGAAAACGCTCATAATCCTCAAGAACTTGTATGACCTCTCTCATCATGTAAGCTCACAAAGATTAGTCCAATTTTCCAAGTATCTAAGTCGAGCTAGGTCCACAACAACAATTGCTTCCTAACTTAATTATTAGAACATTGAAAAAATTCCCAAAACGTCGCAATGCGAACTTAAAAGTCTATTGCTTGTGTAAATGGAATTTATAATAAAAGCTCATGATGGTTAAATTTCATACTTTAGCGTAAGAACTCAACAAAATCTAGAGCATAACTAAAACGTACATTAAACATGACTGAACGGTAATTGGAATATACTTGTTCTAAAACATCACAAAGAATCATTCGACTTTAGAGATCAAACACAGAGATCTAACATTGTAACATTGAGTGAGTTTGGATACATAGTTAGTATATATATGTCTCATTCAAGCCAAACTTGGTGTGTTGGTACACGACTATGTCGTACTATGTACTTCCAAAAGAATACGAACATCAAATCTTGGGTAGGGTGTATATCCAAACCTGAAAACTCGAACCAACCCAACCCGAATTATAGGGATTGGGTTGGGTTATTTTTTCCTGAATCCTATTTGGTCAAGTCCTCAAAATGGTAGGCATATTGAATCGGCTAAAGAGTCATTCTCACCCATGTAAATTAAAGGACAAGCCCTCAGAGGCAGGAGTTCATAACTCACTTAGGATTAAGATCGAGTCGCATATGATCATCATGTGAAATATTAATCTTCTCCATTAACGGGTTTCTAAAGAGATTAGTCAAATCTTATACAAACTCATTGTATAAGATTCCCCCACTTACATGTCTCCACAAGAACGTTTTGGATTAAACCATTTGTAACGATTATAAAGTGAGTCGTATAAATAGTGTTACCAAGATAAGGCACCCAATCTTTGCGGGTTATATTTATACCCTTAGTTATTACGGTTATAATATGAAAATGATAACTCTTGAAATGCCTCACATAGAACGTCAAAATTTTAAAGTTTAAGGAGCTAACACTTTTTAAAGTATCAACAAAACAGACTATGTGTTTGTTATTCCCACCTTAATAGTATCAATTATTTATAGATTATTGTTTGAACATAATTGCTCATTAAAAATCCATAAATATCAATTAAAATAAAAATGTAAGGAAAAAAAAAGTAAGTATAAATATTGAACATATGGCTGACATTTCTGAATCAGCCCTTTGACTTCCTAGTCTTCTTCTTCCTTCAATTCCCTATCTCTCTCTTCCTCCTCTGTTTCTCTCTGTTTTCCCCATTAACGCCTTCTCAATCTCCTCGGAAACCCCGTCCCACCCAGATTCCTCCACCGCCGCTGATATGTCCAATGGCAGCGGCGAACTGCCTTCTGAGGAACGGTGCTTGGTGGAGGAGGTGGCTCTGGTGGTGCCGGAAACTGACGACCCGACTCTTCCTGTGATGACTTTTCGATCATGGGTTCTTGGTCTCGTTTCTTGTTGCCTTCTCATTTTCCTCAACACTTTCTTCACTTACCGTTCTCAGCCACTCGCCATCTCCGCCATTCTTATGCAGATCGTTGTTCTCCCAATTGGCCGCTTCATGGCCTCCACTCTCCCAAACAGGGACTTCCATTTCTTTCGATGGAAGTTTAGTCTCAATCCTGGCCCTTTCAACATGAAGGAGCATGTTATTATCACCATTTTTGCTAACTGTGGCATCTCCTATGGCGGCGGCTGTTAGAATTGGTCAATCCATTAGAATAGCTTGAAGTTAGTCATGCCATAAGAATAGGCTTACTTCGTTAGTTTCCTATGAAATCGGATCTATTAGTTAATCTTTTGCCAATATAAATAGAATATGTCCTCAATAGTGTGAGGCACAGTTTTGCATAAACTTGATATGGTATCAGAGCCGAAATAAGATCCACGAGATCCATAGCCTCTGCTGTTAAACATGTCAATCCCATTCAACACAATGTCTTCTCCGTCGATCAGTCAGGTGATTAGTGTTAAGCTTACACAAGAAAATTATCTACTGTGGTCTACCCAAATCCTTCCCTACTTGCGTAGCCAAAACCTTGTTGGTTTTGTGGATGGATCCATGCCTGCACCAAGCCAGACGATCGCCGTTGAACCAAGTGAAGAAACAGGGAATCGCAAAATTATCATCAACCCTGAGTTCACAGTCTGGTACCCCCAGGACCAGCTGGTACTCAGCCTCATCAACTCATCAGTCACTGAGGAGGTTCTCAGCACGATGGTTGGAATCACCACTGCACGAGAAGCCTGGATTACGCTGGAGCGACAATTTGCTTCCACATCTCGAGCAAGAGCAATGCAGATCCGTATGGAACTCTCTACTATCCAGAAAAAGGACATGACAATTGCTGACTACTTTCGTAAAGTAAAACATCTTGGTGATACACTTGCTGCCATTGGCAAGCGAATAGAGGATGAAGAACTCATCGCCTACATGCTGCAAGGACTTGGTCCAGATTATGATCCTCTAGTCACAAGCATTACAACCAGAACAGATGTATACACTGTCAGCGACGTGTATGCTCACATGCTGAGCTATGAGATGCGGCACTTGCGTAAGGGTACATTTGAGCAACTTTCATCTGCTAACAATGTCAATAGGATATCCATTCGTGGAGGTGCCAATGGAGGTCGAGGTAGTCGCGGTCGTAGTCGTCAGTTAAATAGTGGTCATGGACAATCAAGGCGTACTGTGAACAATCCTGGACGTCAACCATCAAAGACACAAAGCAGCTCAGGCATTGTCTGTCAGATTTGTGGTAAGCCCAATCACGATGCTTTGCAATGCTGGCACAGATTTGATCAGGCATATCAAGCCGAAAATAATCTCAAACAAGCAGCTTTGGCAACAAGTGGATACACTAGTGACACAAACTGGTATGTTGACACTGGAGCCACAGATCATATCACCAATGACCTAGAGAGGCTTACCACCAGAGAACGCTACACTGGCACCGACCAAATTCAGGTTGCAAATGGCGCAGGTTTGTCTATCTCTCATATTGGGAATTCATTAATTTCTGGTTCATCTCTTGTTCTGAAACATATCCTATATGCTCCTAAAATCAATAAGCACCTAATTTCAGTACAAAGACTAGCATCTGATAATAATGCTGTTGTAGAATTTCACCCAAACTATCTTTTGGTTAAGGACCGAGTCACGAAGAAACTCCTGCTCCACGGTAGATGTAAGAATGGCCTATACGTTCTACCGCATAATTTCAGTCAAGCCTTGCTGACAGCCAAACTTTCGAAAGAACAATGGCACAGAAGGCTAGGGCACCCTGCATCTCCAATTACCATTAGAATTCTACAAGATAATAATTTAGCTATAGATACTAATATTCCCTCTTCCTCAATTTGTAATGCTTGTCAATTAGGGAAAGCACATCAATTGCCATTTGGTTCTTCTCAGCATGTATCTACA